TCTGGGTTTGCTGGGCATGGCCGGCTGCGGGGACGCGCGGGGTGGTGGTCCAGACAGGTGAAGGTGAAGACCAGACAGGTGTAGAAATTGCAGTGCATAGTAGTCATGGGTAGTCCATTGGAGAATTGTTGGAAGGTGCTGGCAGATCGGAATGGCGGGTTCTCCCTGGGTCTTCGACCTCCACTGCTCGAACGTTGAACTGCGATCAATGCCTCGATGTTCCGTCAGAAAACAGCAAAAGCTTCTGGACTCCACCCTTCTTAGAAGAGACCTATGCCAGCAGCACAAAAGAACGAGCCATCGAATGCGTCTCCATCGAAAGCGTCTCGATGAGTCCACCGCAGACTCCGACCATCGAAAGCTCCTCGGCCCCCGAAGAGCGTCGAAGCAACGGCACGGCCCCGCGTTCCCGGCGGAAGGAGGTATAGATTCTATAAGACTGTTTAAAGGGTGGAGGCTTGGAGGGTCGTAGGCAGTTCTGTAGGGGTTGACAGATCATCACGAGTCGACGTTCGGAGCTTTTGAAGCCGAAGTTCGAGGCCCTCGGGTTAAACTGCATCAGCCATGGCTCCTGGGGCGTAGTTTGTGCATGTCTCCTTCACCCTTGGCGCCTCTCTGCAGACCCAGTGGCGCTGAGCCAGCTCCGGGTGTCCCAGGTGCTCCTCAATGCGTAGTAGCGGAAGCAGCAGGCTCTAGGACTCGAGCTTCACCATGATTTTATATCAGCTTTCCCGAAGAACCTAGCTCTTGTACTCAGGACTTTAGACTACAACACTTGGGGTGTCCCTGCTCTTTTTTCGGACTTTGAAGGTTAAGGCATCTCCAAAAGGTGGGCATGGGTCAAAAGCCCAAATGGGTTCCTTGGGTTCAAACCCCGGAGCGACGTTGGGGCGACCCCCGGATGACGGAAGAACCAACGCCATCCCACCGCCGCTCAGAACTTCCGGTTCATGACTCATTCCCGGTTACCCCGCCTGGTGTTCCATCACCCTGGGAGTATCACAAAAATGGTCTGACTAGGTGACCCAAGTTCAGTCAGGAATTTCTCTTACTTCAGTTGGTCAAGATATAGTCCAACTGGACTTCTAGGGATCATATGTTCTTATTCGGAGTTCCAAGGAGTCATACCTCACGACCAGTCAGAAAAGCACCAGTCAGAACAACACCAGATCTGTTTGGGCCACGTCGGGTTCAGAGGTTCGATGGCACAAGGGCCGTGGTTTATATGGATCCCCCATTGGTCTAAGACATCGAACGGGGTGCCAGTGCCATTTCTCACCTCTGATGGCCCACTGTATATGTCTTGGCTGATACGTCTTCTTCTCTGACCGCGTCTCCAAACGCCAAAGCACACCAAACCCCACGGCCCCTGCTCCGTCCACCGCGAGACATCAAAACCCGGGTTTGGACGAGTCAAGGCATGCGCCATATCGGACCGAGGGTATTCAAAAACGGTGGCATCTTCGAACGCGTGTTTTCTGCATGGTGGTTTTGTTTCGAACTCGTTTTACATTGACCAGCTCTTTGGCCATGTGAAAAGCTGGTCTGATCAGATTTCTCATTCCAGACCATCCACTCTGCTACCCTCCGGTTGGGTTCCACTGATGTGAATCAAAGCACCCACCAACCTTCACAGAGTATACCAGGTCCCCCAGTCAGGGTGGTTAAACAGACACCGCGAATCGCATCTTTGTTTAGAGCTATTCATAGACACCCCGAAACGGTCCTGGTAGACTCATGCACTGCACTGAATTGCAAAAGGTCTCCTATGGTCCTCCAAAATTCCCCAAAAATTGGCCATAGCACAGGGCCCTGCTCACTCCCTCCACTTGCTCCTGGTGGTGGCATTCCATGAAACGGAGGGATTGGTCTTCCGAACTCACTCCACTTGCTCACTCGTTCGGAGTGACGACATGGTGAGCCATGTCGTGTCCGTCCAATGAGTCGGGACACCGATTCGGAAAGCCATTGGAAAAGCTCCCATGGATGGCGGAAAAATTCTGAAGATGGCGGAAAACGCCTTCCTGGTTCAGGGAACCTGACCAACTCTAGGTTGATCAGAAATTCCAACCAGGACCCCTCTCTCTGTCACGTCACCACCCTCAACTTTGATGTCTTCAGTCTAGAGTGGTTGCAGCGAAAAAACACAAACACACGCAGACACATAAATCCAGCACCGACTTCAAAAAAACGACTCCACCGCACTTCCAGCTCATGGCACTGCAGTCGCCAGCGCCAATGCGCTGGGGACCTCGACCTCGGATGCTTCGTCTCCGCAGAGCTCCTGGACAGCCGCAGACGGATGGATCTTGGATTGGTTGCTTCGGAGTCGGGGAAGAATACACAAAACATCACAAAAGATTCATACCAGGGTCTGCGACCCAGAAGGGTGAATCCATACCAGATCATGAATGGGAATTGATCCATACCAGGGTCCCCCAGATTTCAGGGGTGTCTCATCATAGCGAGACGATGATCTTCATGCAGGGTGTCCAGAAAAAGCACCCCAAACCGACCGAGGGCCTGATGGTGCGGGAGTCCCAGATCCAACTGCGACCAGGCTGTTACCAAAGGCTTGAGTTCTTCATTCAAGAGTACCAATCCTAGTTCATTTGGTATAAAGCCTCAATCACTCTGCTCATCCACCCGGCTTCACGAACAGTTCGTACCACGGTCCAGGTGTCGGTCTGCCAAACAAGGCACCGATGCCGAAAACCCACGGTGAAGGTTGGTACAAGGGTACAACTTAGAGTAAGTGCCCCTAAGGTCACTCTAGACCACACCTATCAGGGCCCCTAGAATAGCCCAACAAAAGAGGATAAGGGGTGTCCATGAAGCACCCCAAACCGAGGGAACCCCGGCAAGTGACCTAATGTTTCTACATCCAGGACCTCCAATGGGTGTTGTTTTGCCAGATCCTTTACAAGTGGCAAGTCGGAGCAAAGAGCGGACACAAAACACCTGCAAACGGATAGCACCTGCGTGCTTGAAGCACATATCATATATACCAATTGTCTTCCAAAAGAAAGCTGGAAAAATCAGCTTCCATCCACCGGTTGGTGGGTTTTGGTTCATCCCTTCCTCCATCCCAATCAAGAGCGAAACGAACAGCACAGGCTGCGTAGGCGACATTTTGCCACAAAGACTGCGACTGCGACACCAACCAAAGAAGCACGCTACTACTGGCCATTCGGTCAGGCGTGGTGGGTCACTACTCGCAGCAGCCGCGCGGGACGCTTGACATGAGCTTGGTCGAAATCCACCGGAGCGTGGAGCACAGGGGAGTGGGGAAGGTGTGTATCGTTCCCTTCCATGTGTCTCTTAGACGACAAGGTAGCGGATCTTCCTCTCATTGAAAAAAATTATCTAAACCCTGGTGGCCACAACAAAACAGAAATGAACTGTACAGTTGCCTGGTTCCAGATGTAAAACTAGAACGAAAGAAGTATTTTTCTGACAGCCGCTGACTCTGTTGGAACACCTTGGGACGAAATGGCGAAATCGGCAGCTGTGAGCCCCTGGAGACTTGAAGCACTCCTCCCTGCCGTCAACCATCTTCTAATTCGGTCTGTGGACCAAAATCAGAAGCACATGGAAAATACCAGATGCTTCCAAAATCCAACGGAAGGACAGGCTTTGGTCTCACTGATCCTGTGCACTTGGGGAAACAAGCTTTCTGTAGGACCAAGCGGATCAAGCCGTGGCGCACTCGTGCGCTGGGCGGGTCGAAAGCGAGAGTCGAAGCGAGATGGGCGGCTTGGCTGGCAGTCACGGCTCCACCTTCTTAGATGCAAAGGAGGTGAAGGATGTGAAAGCATTTCTTCATGATACACGTTTATATGATTCATATGTACCACTTGTACCACCCTCCGACAGGTCACCTATGGTCACCTACATGGCAAGCTCTCAACAATCAAACTCTCAGCAGTGAAAGAGCTCTTCAACAGGAGGTGAATATAATTCAGCGTTTCAATCACCAGAGGTGGTCTCGTCTAGAAACCCATCCTGCAAGTCTGCACTCGTACAAGCCATTCGATCTGTTCTCAGCGGAGACTGGACCTCGACCCACTTCGCGTTGAGAGCCGCCTTCGATGAGCTGAGCCCTTTGAGGGTCTGGATGATCAACGTGCCGCGTTGGTCCCTTCCAAGTCGTCATTTAACAGATGAATTAGGACCTCAGCCTCCACCGGTGGAGGCGAACCGGACCTTTCTCCTAGGCCTCAGCAGTTTGGAGAACAACAGTCAGCTTACAGCCGGATGTAACCGGATGTAGACATAGCATGACAGAAACGATCTGGACAAGTTCTTCCAACAATCAGCCGGATCACACACTCCCAAAATGGTGAAGGGCAATATCCTTCAGGCCCTTTGACCTCTCCCGGGGCACCTTTGGAAGAGTTCGTTGGTTCAAAATCAAATTGAGCGATGGGATTGAGATCCATCAATGGGATGGGAAATTTTGCAGAGTATGTTCCCTAATCCTAGGATGCTCCCATATGTATACTTCAGAGTGGTTGCTTGCACATGAGGGTGACCAGGATTTCTGCCACCTGTCTTTTTCTTCCGCGCTTTTGGTGGGCATTGGAGTTGAGATATCATTGACAATGTGCCTGGGCCTATAGGATCTATATCTATATATATATGTGATATGATATGAGTACATATAATGTGTAAGATATATATATATATACTAATGACCTTCGACGTGGAAGCCAAAGTATGATATTGAACATCCAATTCTTCTCGAGGACGTCAGATGGATGACTCTTTGCAATCGACTATACATCATCCAGACCGCCGTTCGGACCGCTCGCGTGAGGACCGCGGCCTCCCAGCCACTCATGGTGACCGGTGCGGCCTTCGTGTCCGGGGAAGGCCCCGAAAGAGAAACGAAACGGCCTCCCATCTCCCAGCTGGCGGGGAAATTCACTTAAGATTCTGCATATCACAAGGCTGAATACGATTCATAAGGCTGTCATGTCGACCTTTCAACAAAGATTCTCACGACTTCTTTCAGGCGGGAGGGGCAACCAACTGTAGGGGCGCGAGGCAAATCTTCTTCTCACATGTGCCTTCAAAAAAATCTCGAGGCGCTGGGAAGTTTCTTGATAAAACAAAGTCTTCGCCTACCTTCACAAGTGTCATGAGAGTGTCATGAACCCTGTTTCTTCTCTTCATCGTCGATTGCGACATCATTTCTCTGGTTTCGCTCAGTGAGTTATGCCGCATCAGCTACATCTGCTCTTCAACGAGGCTGTTTGTGTTGGTTTGTCGCTTCAACTCGACGCAGCAGAGCTCAGCAAGAAAGCGCAGGCTGCGTGGGCTTCCCTGCGAATGTTTAGCGGGTGAAATGGCGGGAGGCACTTCGCCCGCTGCGCGCGCTGCGTGTGGGGCTGCCCCCTGTCTCATAGCCCTCCACGGCAACCTCATCTTCCTGAGTCCACGAGTCCACGAGCATGGGGTGTGGCACAGGTTTCGGGGTCCATACATTATAAATGCACTTTGGGTGTGCATTGGAGGGGGGGTACCATATAAATATATGGTATTTACCTGTGTCTTTGAATGAGTTTTGGTGTTTTGAGGTGGTTCCATTTTATCTTTGCATCAACAGTAAGTGTGGTCTGAAAGAGAAGGACTTCCTTAGACTTCCTTGGTGGGCACACCTTGTTCTCAACGTCAATGCCTTTTGCAGGCACCTGAAACAGGTTGGTTGCACATACCAAGTAGTACTGAGCCATGTAAAGCTTTGAATGGGCTTGGTCAACTCCTTACTGTTCACAGCCCGGAAAGAAAATCTACATCTGGGGTTCTCAGCCCATTAGGGTCTCCCTCAACGCTTCCCATGACGGAACCCCGAAAAGTCCCAGGTTCGCCCACCGGCCTTGACGTCTCTTCCGCGGACGTCGGCGCGACCGGTGCCCCGTTGGTGTCGTGGCCAGCGCCGAGCCCCGTTGGCAGAAAAAGGGGTCGGAGCTCGGGAACTCGAGCAATGATCCTTTACCAACGGATGATTGGAGCTTCGATGCAGAGTGTCCTACAGCTAAGAAGTCCCCCTGCGCTCCATCCCCTTGGAGGGAGTCTCAGACTCCGGACTGAACATCGTTCAGGCTCTCTATCCCTTGGCCCAAAGTCCTCAAATTCCTTTGGAGAAACAAAGTCCGAGATGCTCATTCATCATACTTGTGGCGTGTGTACTAGAAATATCTAGAAATCATCAGGAATAAGCAGAACCCGCTGCTCCAATGGGTTTTAGTCGGTTCTTTCCTTTTCCCGGCGAAGGCCGGGTCCAACTGGGCAGCTGACGCTTCCTTCACCCAGCCATCCCAATTCCGAAAGCTCAACAACACCAGGCTGGTCGCAAAAACATGCAAAAACCACGGAATGTCAAAACGATCCCAAGTCTCCTCATGCCATAGGCATGTCACATACATAGGCAAAAGCATGCAGCCATCAAAGGCTCTGACCCCCAAAATCGCACCCCAAATGCACATCCCAAAGAGACTTGCTCTCACCACCAGACCCTCCCCGTCTGCCTTTTCGATCTGGGCAACCCTGCGGCGAGCTCGCTTTTGAAGGTGGTCGCCTCTCCGGAACCGGGGCGATCGCAGAAACTGAGCTGCTTTTTGGGGGGAGGGGAGCAGAACAGACTGAGCTGCTTTACTCCATGTCTTCGCATCGTATGTCTTCGCAACGATCCAAGCGAGCCCTCGAAAAACCCGGCGAGGGGGGCTGCGGCGCTGCGCCGGGTGTTCCGCGCGCGTTCCGAGCGAGCCGCGGGGGTCGGGGGTCGAAGACGGAGTCGGAATCGCCTTGATGTGCCTGAAGACGGAGTGGTTGAAGATGTCTTGAACACCTGAGGCATGTCTGCTTATGAGAGACCAATTCTTTGAGGCAACGTTGGAGGAAGGTGAAGCACCTCTCAAGTGGTAGGAATCAGAGAATGGCCCAATGACATTCCCTCCGTCCGCAGCAGTCATTGAATCACTCAAGACCCTTTGCTGAAAGGCCTGTGAGTGAGTGCCTCTGAATGCTTCGTTCACCTGCAGTCTGTTTGATTTGCTTTTTGGGGTTCCAAAACTGAGCTGATCAACAGCTGAACTCCCTCAGATCCTTAGTCAACCCCACCAGACGAGTGGTCTATCCACAGGTCAAAACGCGGGTCAAAGAACGAAGAAGACAACAAAACAGCCAGGTGATATACCATATGGCATAGCTGGAGATGTGGTCATGGATCCACATTCTCTTAAACTGCAAGATCATCCACATCATCTTAGTGCCACATCTTGGTGACCAGAGTATGTTCAACCCTTTGCAATTCAAATCGTGCTTCAAATGTAGAGCCATTAATTCACCCTGACGGTGTCTGGGACTTCTAGTCCCACACGCAACGCGTGTGGACCACCCCCCCCAAAAAGAAAGAGATCGGCCGATATCGACGGAGCCATGACATAGGGAACTTCGTTCTGCATCGGTGTCACAATCGTGTCGCGCGTCAGCGCGCTGACGCGCGGATGTCAGTGGGTGGGAGCCCAGTGGATCCCAGGCAAACCACGTACTATAAGGAACCAGGGATTTGTTCGGTCTATGGGTTTAGTCTTTGGAACTACTGGTTACCAGCCATAGTGGTAACTGGATGCCCTGGGGTTGGTCACTGCTGGAGACTCCAGTCTTGTCCGAACGATCCTGATCACCGCAAAGGGCAACGTGCTACCCTTAACATACCCTTCAACCGTCACAAAGCATGCTGCAACATGTCTTGCTGATTCTCTTGATTCTTGATTGAAAGAAACCCATTATATACCAGAAGAAAAGAAAAAACATGATGTGGCCCTAACCAACACCCTGACATGATAATCCTAGGAGTTCACGAATCCAGCTCCACATACAACATATGTTTACAAATTTTACAAAATTATACATATATATCACATATATCATATGCACGTGGTGACCTAAACCGGTCAAAAAGGCTGCAAGTGCCTTTTCTTCTTGAGCGCAAACAAAGGGCTTCGGTCATGCCCAAGTAACCACATGTTCAAGTGGCATCATGACGTGTCATCAAGACACAACCACAAGCGCTCCCCCTTTTTGGAGGTCGCACTTCCAAAAACATCTCCGAGCTTTCGTCAGCTCAAGCCCTTCTATCCGCAGCGGGCACATGGTCGCAAAGTGCGCCCACCATCGACCTTATGGGGAAGGTCTCGCCGGTGCCCGGTGCCGTCGGCAACCACAATCTCAGCCGTGGTGTCCATGTCGTTCCTGCCCCAGCACGCGGAGCACTTTTGGATCTCCATCACCATCTTGGAGTTCCGAATCGCTGAGCAGTCACGGCGCACATGGTACACCTGAGCTCCTTCTACTCGCCATGCCCGGCCATGCCATCGCACCCGAGCCAGACCAGAAGTAGTCGGCTGGGCCTCCACTTCCTGGTCTTCTTCGACCTCAACTTCCACCATCTCCTGACTGGTAGTCACCGGAGGCCGCCTCACCGAAGTGGTGTGCATGGCGGGAGCCCTGAAGTACACCTTCTCTCCAGTCACCCGCTGTGTCGAGGTGCTACCATCATCATGGTAAGTCACATTCACCTCCTCTGGCGATGCCTCTCTTGGAAAGGTCCTGGTTCTTGACCTCTCCCTTGATCTCAGCCTCACCCCTGACGTAGGTGGCTCCTGGCTTCGACCCCGCCCTCCTCGAGCTTCTGACGACCCGCCACCTCCTGTCAGCCGAAGTGACCTCACTCCAGTGGAGCCGAACCCTCCACTGCCACGGTAGGACTCTCCCAGGTCCTTGACGGTCTTGAGCTCACCCTCGTAGACCTTTTCGATGACCATCTGTGCAACCCTGTCGCCCGGGTTGATGACATAGGACTGGTCAGAGCCGTTCATGACCAACACTTTGATCTCGCCCCTGAAGTCGCAGTCCACGACTCCAGGCCCAACATTCACCCCCTTCACCATCATGCTGGATCTTGAGGTCAGGCGCCCATAGGTGCCCACTGGCAACTCCATCGCCAGTCCAGTGCCCACCAATGCACTGCACCCAGGATCCACAGTCAAGCCATCGACTGCATGCAGGTCCCATCCTGCCGACCCCAGCGTGCCACGTGCTGGCACCAAAGCTTCCTCGCGGAGCAGCTTCACCTTCACAATGTCCTCGGTGCCCAACATCCTCCTGAGAGCCGCAAGCCCATACCGCTTGATGGCATCGCCAATGATGTAGCCCGCTATATGAGGACCAAAACCACGATCAGGATCAAGAAGCTCCTGCCATCGTCATCACCCTTAGCCTCCTCCGTGTCAGCGACACCCTGGAGAGCAACAGCGGCCACAATCAGGCCAGCAGCTTTCACAATCCGATCATGAACATCCGGATTGAGCCGCTTCAGACACATCTTCTTCACAGCCTCCCTGCCATCCCTGAGCAAGAGCTCCTTGATGAGCCGCTCATGCAAGGTTCCGGCCAACTGCTTGGTGAGCCCGTCCGCCAACAAGTAGCCCCCATCCAGATGCCTCAGCATCCACTCCTTCTTTTCCACCGCCTCCGTCAAGGCGTTGGCCCGATGCGCAAGTGGCGCGTCCTCCATGACCCACTCGTCCCAGTGGCAATCGACAACGCTGCATTGTTGTCGTTGTAGATGACCCCAACCATAGGTCCCTCAAACAGCTCAACCAACGCCCGGCATGCCCTCCCAGCAACCAGCGCTTCCACCTGAGCTGTCAGCTCGGCCTCCGCCGTGCTCAACGCCACCGTGGCCTGCCTCATTGAGGCCCAAAAGACTGGCGCCCCAGCATACTTCACGACCACGCCGGTCATGCTTTTCCCTCCACCGGGAGCAAATGCTGCATTGCAGTGAGCCTCCATGGTCCTGCGGTCCCTCTTGATCGGGAGCTGGTGGTGTTCTCCATGACCAGAAATCTCCTCCACCGTGCCGTAGTACAGCCCCAAGGTTGGCGTACCAGCCAAGTACTTCAGCACCTCCTCACCGATCTTGACCACGGCTTTTGGCCGCTTGACCGCAAACTGAGACATCACAGCGCTTGCAAAGGCCACTTCTGGCCGGGTATGAGAGGCTACCCAAAGGACTTCACCCGTCAGCGCCTGGGCATGCGGGATGCAAGCTAGCTCTGGCTCCTCCTCATCTTCGGTCGGTACCTCGACCTTTGGCAGTTTGGCCATCATGAACCGGATGTAGCTTTCTTGATGTATCCGAAAGCCCCCACCATCCTTCTCCACATCGAGGCCACAGAATTTGGTCACTTTCCCCTCCTCGACCCAATCGGCCTCGGAGCAAGTCCACATGGACCTGAACTTTTCAATGAAGGCTGCCAGTGTGGCATCGGTGCCCGAGACCATCACGTCATCGACGTACACCGCCACGTTTGGACCACTCCAGTCCCCTTGACCTTCTTCTCGATGGCCCAAACATTGGCCTCAGGGAGGTTCACCAGGCGCCATTCGCCCTGCTCACCCCAAACCATCTCCGCCATCATGCGGTCGCGATAGGCCCCCCACTCTTTTGGTGCAGTGATGGTGCCGTACAAAGTTCCTTGGACAATCCACTGCTCTCCCGCGGCAGTGACTCCAGCATCCTGAAACAGCCTGGGCGGATTGACAACAGTCACATCCTTCCGCTCTTCTTGAGGAACCTGAAGAAATGCCGTTTTCACATCAACTGTCACCAGGCTCCAGCGCTCCAGGGCTGCATGCCGAATGAGGCTTCGGACTGCCCCAACATCAATGCCGCTAGCATAGACCTCTTCAGCAGGACGCTCCTGCATGTAGTTCCCACAGATGACTCCACGGACCTTGTGCCGTCCGTCTGGACTTTTCCTGGTGCACACAGCTTTTCCTGGCACCACCTCGAGCTCTTTGACCTCGTTCTTCCCTGCTTTCCGCACCGTGCCCGTGCTGAGCAGCGAGTCATACTCGGCCTTGATGGCCGCTTTCCAATCGCCCAACTCTCGGCGAACATCAGCAGCAGACACCGTGACCGTCTGCGGCCATAGAGCTTCCTGAAGGCACCCATCCTTCACCTGCTCGTTTTGGTTCCCAGCCAAGGTGCTCAAACTGGCGTGCAATCGCTTCAGCTCCCAAGCCACCTCGTCGGCCATGTGGAAATTGGTCGACTCCCCCGGTTCTAAGACCTCCCTGATCCGAGCTTCCTCCATGTAGAATTCGCTGCCAGCACTGTAGGCCTCCTCCCACAAGTCCAGCTCCTGGAATTCCGCCCTCAAAGCTCGAAGTGCTTCAGGTGGAGTCTTCCCTTCAATCCGCCTCCGCGGAACCCCAAACTCTCGCACAGGATGCCGCTCTTCTTCGGCATCACCAAGCTGCGGAAGTCCATCTTCCAAAGGCATTTCCTGCCAGGTCCGCGCATCTGCGGTATGCAGGTACTTTCCAGCTTCAGTCCGGACATTGTACCCCCCCCTCGGTCATCGAGGCATCTGGTCCCAAAATCAGGACCTTCATGCGAGCCTTCCGCCAGTCCGTGGACCGCTCATTCCAGTACTTCACCCTGGCGTAGCCCCAACTCCCAAAAGGAAGCAATGCCTTCATCGGCATCTTCATGGCCTCCATTTGAATCCTTAGCTTCCTTTCAGCAGCATGCCGCGCTGCCAAGGGCCAGAGCTCGGTGGACACTCCCGCCTGACTGAGCAAAGTCTTGGTCTGCCTGGAGATAGTCCCAACCTCAGCCTCTGCTCGCCCATTCATCTGCCAGCTATCTCCATCCCTGTGCATGCACCACTGCGCCATCTGGCGTGACCTCAGTTCTGATGCACTGTCCGAGTGGAGTCGTAAGACCGGCAACACCATGAATCGTAGCCGTGCGTAGATCTTGGCTACTGCTTGCAA